CTATAGAAAATGTTTTTAGTTTTGTTTCCCAGTTGGGTTTTTTCTTCCCGAGAAGTACTTCCGTATTAAAATTCCATTCATAATAAAACGGTTCTCAGTACTTCAAAGCCTAGATTCATTCATTATTGGGCAATTTAAACTAAATTCTTCTTTGTTTAGAAATGGAACAAGTAATTAATAATTAGTCAAGTATTAAATTATTTTAAAAAATTACAATATTAATCTAATTTATATCTATTATTAATCTAGATTATTAAGTAATTTTATTAATGAAACAATTATTTATGCTTAAAATAAATTTAGAATAGAATAGAAAATTGAACTTCTTTTTGGGACTAAGTCCCCTTAGAATAACAACGATGAACAAATACAAAAGAAAATACAACTTAAGAAAATTAACATAACATCTCAAAAATACATATTACTGTGATTGAAGAAAAAAAAATACATTTATACATAGAAATAACTACACAACGTATAAACAATAGGCTAACTAATAAAAAACTAATTTAATACAAAATGTAATAATATCTACAGTGATTTACATAATAGTATCCGAACAATAAAAGAAATAAAAATATAATCTCAGGAATACTTGTAGTGTATTAAAAAAAAAAATATATATATACACAAACATACATACACATATTCGTACACAGAAAAAAATATAACTTGGATAAATAAAAAAATCAATAGATAAAATAATAATATAATAACATAAGAAAAGTAACAACAGAAAGGTATTGATTTAAATGTTAAAATATAAACAGAAGGCCAAATTAATAAACTAACACAAATATATTTAATCGAGATAGAGATAATAATTACTACTCCATGGTACAGATAGGTACTAAAAACTCGTAAATACTCATTTGTTTTCTCCTTGGATCGTAAGATATTTTTATCACAAAATTGAGAGAAAAGGTGGCCTTAAAAAATATTCATCCGTTTGGCGTGACCTACACCCCCAAATTTTCAAAATAACGAGGTTATATAGGACAAACGGCCCAATATTTTTGTAGGCTACCTTTTTTTATCGATTTTGTGTTAAATTATCTTAGGATCAAAGTAGAAAGCAAATGTTTATGAGTTTTTAGTACCTAATTAAATAGATAAGGCGCTCTTGCTCAAACTACACTGGCTTTAGCACCAGTGACGCGGTTGAGAGAGTAGCGCAGGTATCTCTTTGAGTCCTGCTTTTCCGTCTATAGTTGGAGGAAGAAGCCTGGCTCCCCTGCCTGATTGTGTATATTGTATATAGGTATAACTGTGTCTTTATGTTTTTAATTTACTTATCTTTAGGTTATTTTATTTTTTATTGTACATAGTTTTTTTTTATTATTATTAAGTTATTATTTTACTTTTGTTAATTTTATATTAACAAATATTATATTTTCTATATATATATGGTGTGAATATGTTCATTTATCAATATAATTATTGTCCACGAGACAGAATATTATATGTCTAAATAAATAAATAAAAAAAAAAAAATTAAATAGACAAAGTTCGCCCCTCTCCAGATTAAAATACCCCAATTCCAAGAGTTTTTGTAAATAAAATAGTTGTAGGTTACGATAAGATGAAACTATTTACAAAGTTTCAGGCGGTTGTTAATAATTCGATAAAAATGTGTCTTTACTACGGACTGTATCTTTTGTGCCTAAATATGCACAAACATAAATTTATAGCCTTTTATGCAAAATTATAAATAAATGCCGAAAGATTTCGAATGACTCGTTTCATAAGGATATCAACTTATTTTTTTTTTTTTAAACAAAACAAAACAATATATGCTTTTGCATACATATACATATCCAGGTCTTAGTTATAAATAATGATTACTAGCTGACCTATGCGAATACTTCGCACAAACCTTATATTTGTATGTTCCATTCAGTAATGTTTCTATGCAAAGGTTTAATACTTTTATTTAGTAAGTTATCAGTTTATAAATATAATAATCTATACCCATCCATAGGTTAACCCTTTCTAGTTTCATTACATTTATAATTATAACATTATGTTTTTTCTTAAGTTTACAAAAGCTTCTAAACATTGCCTTTAAATATCTGATGAAGACTAAATACTTTGAATTTAGTTCTCTGGTACGTTTTAACCTAACTGTCTGTATTCACAGAAAATAAAAATAAAGAAATGTTTCTTTTGTCATTAAAAATAGTCAAGTAAATTTTTAAAATGATAAACATATAATATCTTATAAATAGATAATATTTTATTTAAAACTAGCTTTACCCGGCCACGTGCTGCTGTGGCAAAATGAAAAAGAAAGAAAAAAAGAAAGCACATATGAGTAGATTAGTAGCAAAAGACATCTATCATTTTTAAAAAGTTGGAAACAAATTTGTCTGTAAAATGGCTTCAATTGAAACTAATTCTAATTGTTTTTTTTCTCATGATTCAAATTGAACATTTATAATCATCTGAGCGAATACGCCGTCATTCATAATCATCAGAAACAGTCTGAGTTGAACTTATAAAACTAAATTAAAAAATTAATTTAAAAAACGTGTAATAGTTTGTAACGTGTAACGTGTAATAATTAACGTGACTTATGAATTGCTTCGTAAGATTTGTAATTGGAACCCCGAGACGATCCCGTGTCTCCCACCACTACACTGAGTTAGGGTGGCTCTTCCCCTCCTTAAGAAGACAATATTTCCTTGGCACTTTCCTTTACCAAATCATTACCGATCATCGCCCTTCTTATGCCTACAACCTTCTCCAATTTAAGTCCTCAATCCATTCACTCACTACAAGATCCCGACCCTCTGACCTATACATCCCTTCTCGTAGATCTGCCTCATTCCAAAATTCCTTTATAACCCGCTCTGTCATCTTTTGGAATTCCCTCCCGATCAAAATTCGACATGCCCCTTCCCTGTATACATTCAAAAACCTCCTATTCCAATTCCTGTTCCAAAAACAGTCTGATACCAGCTAACTATTGATATTATATATGTATTGTGTAGCAATCATATAATCATAACACTTGGTAAGAGATAGTACATGCATTTCCTACTATCGACGTAGGAATTTCAATACATACATTTTTTTTTTTTTTTTTTTTTTTTTTTTTTTTTTTTTTTTTTTTTTTTATGAAATGAACTCATTGTATCTCTTTTTCGTTCTTCATTTCTCAAAGTGTATGTTTATGTTGTTCAACCCTTAAATATAATTTTGTTCATAGTTCAAGTGATTCGTTCATAGTTTTAATTGTTTTGTTCATAATTTTAAATGCTCTGTACATAGTTTTATCTGTATTGTATATCGCTTGTGCACCTAAGATTTTCTTTACTTTTTATTTTATTTTATCAATTTTATTTATTGTTTCAACGTTCAGGCCAGTAATATTCTATTATTTTGTACATTATTGTTATTCTGAAGGGACTTAGTCCCAGAATAAAGTTTTTTTTTCTATCTATCTAGTATTGACCTACACAAGGAGAATCATATAAATTCTTCAAATGATAATTTCAATTACTATAGTAATTATAAAATTTTCGATTAATCAATAAAAAAACAAAAAAAAAAAAAAAAAAACGGCCTTTTCTGAAGAGAAAGCAGTAAATGTTTAAAACCCAATAACTCTGCAACGAACCGTCCGATTTCGATGATTTTTTTTTTTAATTTGACGGCAAATCAGTAATCTTTCAAATAAATGTTGGTATTATCAGTCAAAAATTGTGTGTTTTTACTTTTTTAGTTATCGTCAAATAAAATATTGAATTCATCGTAAAATTTTTCAGCTTGTTTTCGGAAAAGTATGTTATACACATAAATCAAAAGGGTTTCAAGGGGAAGACTTTAGCTAAGTTTCGTTGAAATCGGTAAAGCCGTTTTGGCGCTAAAGCTTATAGCGACACATTTTTTTGCGGCTTTGAACAGAAAAACATTTACGTTTTTATTTTATTTTTTACATATATAAAATTATAGTAAGACAGAAGTACTATGGCAGAAACCTTCCTAGGAATGTACGGAACAACTTCCCAAAGTTTCATGGCGATCGGTTGAATGGTTTAGTAATGCATTAAGGACAAACAGAAAGACATACATTCATTTATATATATATATATATATATATATATATATATATATATATATATATATATATATATATATAACAAATTTATTAATTAATTTTACAATACCAAATGTAACCGGAAAAGGGATATATATTTGAGAAATAATATATAAGATTCTTAAGATTTATTAAATAAAAAATAAGTACATTTTAGTGGTGTTAATTGAAAGGTGTGTGATACATCACCCGATTTTTTTAAAAGTGAAATCTTGATGATTAAAATATTTTTCTATGAAACATATGTCTATTCTATCGATAAGATTTCTAGACAAAGTGCTACAATTTTTTTTTTTTTTTTTTTTTTTAAATTTTGAGATTTTCGTGCGTTGATAATAATGTATTTAGGCCGGAAAACTCGAAAAATCTCTGTACGCCACTGTCAATAGCGGATCCAGGATTTAATTTTGGGGGGGGCTTCAGCCCGAAACCTTCTTTTTTCATAAAAATAACGATAATTACTTTGGAAAAACAGAAAGAAACTAACTACCTATATGAAATGGTGTTTAAGTGATTCCTTATGTCCTTTTAAATGTAATTACACGAACAATAATACTTTAAGAAGTATTTTTTAAATTTTTTTTTCCATAAAACATGGTTGTATTTTTCCATTTTGGGGGGGACTTCAGGCCGAAAGCCCCCTCCCCCCCGTAGATCCGCCCGTGGCCACTGTCAAAGGATACAAATACATAATACGGTCCTGGAGGAAAGGTCTACCGGAGGGCAGAAGAGAGTGGTGGGGATAGAAGTGGAGGGGGTACGAAGGAGCTGGTATAACGTTGGTAGCGTCCTAAGTGATCGCTGTGCGCCGTGCTCTCTGTGTGTGTGTTGTTTCTACGTCTGTCATGTCACTGTAGTGCGTACCTCTGGCATATCCTTCTTCGTCAGTGTCCGTCCTCTAGTGTCTGTGTACAGCAATGGCGTCTTCTTCTGCCGGTTTGTCTGCCGTAGCGGTCTTCATTATTTTGACTTTGGGTACAGTTTCGGGAGTCATCGAGGAAAGAGGTAAGTCTGGATGTAATATAAAAATAAAATAATATATAAGTATCCAGGAATTTTTTTTAATTTTAACAATAATAATGTAATCTGCCACAATCAAAACCATAAGTAAATTTATGTATAAGTTTATAACCTGAAATACACAAATAAGAGAGAGAATCACTTTATTATCAGAAAAGGGTGCTGCCCAATTACATTGGGTTGCTTTAAACACAGTATACTTATTAATCGCTATAGACAATTTTTCAAAACTAATATACAATTATATAGTAATCACGATATGTATCAGCATAGTATACAATTTTTTTTTATCCATATATTTTTTTTATTATAATTTTTTTTCCTATATTTTTATTTTATTTTATTTTTTTACTATTTATTTCATTCATTTATTAGCATTATACATCCCTTTTTCTTCCTTCTCTCCCCTTACACATTTTTCTCATTCCCTAGAAATAATAAAAGAAAAACATACATGAAAAAATAATGTAAATTGAAAAAAATACTGCGATATTTTTCATTTATTTAATAAAAGATATATATAATTGTTATCCTGTTTAAATATCGTAATAATAACTACAGAATTAAGTAAAAAAAATAAGGTAATTAATCATTTAATAAAAGGTTATTTTATGTTGAACCCTTATGTACAATGGACAATTGTTTTTAGTTTGTTTGTTGTTTACGTAAAGTATAATTTATTTTTTTTTGGGGTGGGGGAGGGGAAAGCTTCATATTTCATTCTGGGTTTTTTTTCATATATGTAACTATAATTACTTGTTAAAAAAATAAAGATACCAACTACCTATATGAAATGGCGTTTAAGTCATTCTTGAAGTCCTAAATGTAGTTACACCAACAATAATACTTTAAGAGATAATTTTTTTATATTTTATTTCATAAATCATGGTTTTACTATTTTTAAGGGGGGGCTTCGGCCCGAAAGCCTCCTCTCCCCCCCAACTAGATCCGTCTGTCAGTAAAGAGACGTCTGAAATTTAATAAGAAAAAAGTTAATACTGGCGTCGATTTTAAATCTGCTATAAATACTGTTATCAATTCATAAAGGAAACAGCTATAATAAGAAAATATCTCGTTCACACCATATTTACAAAAAATGTAGATAAATAAAATTATATGAAAGCGAAATAATAATATTGGAAACAAAAAATATTTACAATAAATAAAAATTATATAAACTTAAAAATAAATATAACACCACACAACTATAATAACACCTTAAACACAGACAAAGCTATGTATATAATACAAATAAATAATCTTTAAAAAATAATTGTTGATAATCGTAGAAATAATTACTAATTTTTCAGTACAAGTTGATATGATTAATGGACAGGTTTTTTAGCTTTTTAAAAAATATTAACATCATCATAATTGGTAATTGGTTGACTGTCGTGGATCTTTATTAACATCATCGTAAACACAAATACACCTGTATACACTAAAAAAAAAATTGTTAATGAATCATATCGATAACTGCAATATCACGTTTAAAAATATAATCGGTAAATATTTTAATACAAGTTAGTAAATGGACAAGTTTTCTTAATTTCTTAATATTTGTCAATTATTACATTTTTAAATAACAACACAGATATACATGTATATACCAAAAAAAAAAAAAAAGAAAAAAAAGTATTGTTTATTTCTTTTTAAGCATCATAATAATTAAGTAATCATTTTAATTTAGTTTTAAAATATGATTATTATTATTTTATTAAAACTAAGTGCATACTATGGACAATTATTTTAATTATTAAAGTAAAATGTATTTAAAGTAAATAAAGAGACGTTTGAAATGCTCTGAAATATTTTTAAAAAAATAATTGTAGTCGACTGGCGTCGAAATTAATTCTGAGGTAAATACTGTTATCGATCCAATCGGAATGTTCTCATTTTTTATCTCAATTAATTTGATCTGTTACAAAATTTCCAGAAGGATATATATATATATAACAAAAAAAAAATCGCCTGATATAAAAATTATGTTAAAATATTAAATATGTCTACAACATCAATTCATTACACTGAAATTACATAATGATTTAATTTTTTATTTTATTCGTAGGTTTTTCTGCATACCTTTATATGGTTCATAGTATTGGCTAGTCAGAAATTTGCCGCGGAACCTAGAGCTAAAATAATAACATTTCATATAATAAAATAATCTAATGGACTATTTAGTGAATATTTATATATATATATATATGTATATATATATATGTATATATATATATATATATATTATATATATATATATATATATATATATATATATATATATATATATATATTCAATATTAGTGATTATTTAGTGGATTGGACTATTTAAATTGAAACATATTTGATACATTTACTAATTTTGGTGTATGTTTTAACTTAACCAAAATCCTATAAATAAATCAATTATCGTATATATTGGTATTTTGTTTGAATGGGGAGAAAAACTAAGCTTAGATTCATAAACAAAAGCTACTTTCTTCTACGGAATTAAAATGAAAAAAAAAAATGATTACATTTTTAATCTGTACTTTTTCACATTCCAACGTCTTGGAATAATGGATCTTTTTCATTCTGAATTCATTTATACCTATTACTCTATTTTTTTTTTTAAAGTAATAATAGTTTTTTTTTATTTTACATTTAATTTTAATTTTACCACAATACTCTACTTATACGACTGTAGCAGACTTTAAGTAAGGTCATCCAGACAGCTATAACTGAACGTCATCCGCAAGAACTGGAAGATCGATCTTTTCCCGAAGAGAAAGGAACACCACGCGGTGACGTCCGGAGATCTCATTCACCTGTCGTACATCTGTTGTTCAGGAAACGTCTGATTTCCTTCTCATCCTGAACTAATGAAATTCCCAGGAATGGATTTTAAGTTACCACGCTCTTAGGTTCAATAATTTTTTTCCGCCTTCCTTCATACCATTTTAACCATCTTCAAGAAGGCAATATAATAATTAATTAATAACAATTAAATAAATCAAAAATTATAAAAATAAATAATGAATATTTTTATTTAGGGTCCAATTTATATTTATGTATTTTTATTATTATTATTATTTTGCTCAAGAGTGTAAAAACCCTCGGTTCATCTACAGTACTGTCATGGATATTTTTAATTATAAAGTTGAAAAAAAAATATTATACCGATGTATATACGTATTAACATACCAAATTAGAATAAATAAACATGCTATAATTTAGAAGAGAGGCATTTTTCTGTTAGAAATTTAATGTGCTTCACATTGAAGTTTCCCTCCCCCCCCCAACCTTCCAAAAAATTGACAAATATTTATTTTTTTTTTTATTGGCCCGTTTTTGTTTATGTGAGTGATAAAGGCTACTTAAACAATCATTCAACAATATATTCTCTTTTTAAATTATAATGCATACACAGACATCTACTGAATGTAAACATGAATCAAGAAATAATATAAAATATTTGTTTCTTAATGCTTAATAATGCATTTCATGATCAATAGATGTCGTTATATACTTTTATATCTCTTAAAGGACCACATAAACATAATTTTCTATAGGTTGTTTTCCTTATATTTTTTTCGAGAGTAATTATATTAGTTTTTATTTATTTAGAAATATAATAATCTGTCACGTGGACAATTATTATATTGAGATATGAACACATTCACACCATATATACAGAAAACATAAAATAAACAAAAGTAAAAAAAAAAAAAAAAAACTAAATAATAATCAAACAACTACGTCCAATAAAAAATAAAATTATATTAATATGGAAAAAAAATTAAATCCTGGATCTACTGATTTGACGGAATCTTTGAATTATTATTTTATGTTTATACAATCATCTCAATTCAAATCAATTCAAATCAAACTTGTTTATTACATAAGACGTATGTACATATATATTATATACAGGAGATGTTACATGTATTTGTAGATATATATTTAAAAAAAAAAAATTTAACCAGGGCTTAGAATTTTATCAGTTACGATAAGACTTGAACTTATATTTTTGATTGTCTTGAGCTCTCCCGAGTCCAAATAATCCAGAGCTCTCCCGAGTCCAAATAATCCAGTCCCGCAAAATGGTCAGTGTGTGTATGTTAACAGTATAGCTTAAAAACGAAAAGTCGTACGAAAATGAAAATTCATATTTAAGGTTTTTATATGTTAGGGATGTTACAACTTTTTCGTCAAAATCGGCTTACCGGCAATAGGACTTTATATAATCGATGAAACACTTTTTTACTATTTTCTCGAAAATGGCTACAATGATTTTTTTTTTTTAACTTGATTCTTCAACTTACACCTGTCAGAAGTGCCGACAATCAGCGAGTGTGATGTCAAGATGTAGAGATTGGTCTTGGAATAGGCGTGAGGGAGAGGAGTGCCCAGCGGCGTCCTTCCTGTCTTGAGCGTAATATTTATAGTTAGTGGAGGAGATCTTTCGTCCAGCTTCTTTTAAGCCTCCTTCGGGTACTATCGGGCATGTTAGTACAATGATTTTAATTAAATTTATTATATAAATGTAAAATTAAGCTGTTTTTAATATTATGCAGGTTTTATTCTAAAGATCAGAACAGGCTTCCATAGTAACATGAGTTTAACATAATACGAACTCCCACAATATCATTTTCATATACCTATCCGGTTTTTCAAAATATTTTCGTTGGTATTATTGAATATTTAATTGTTTAGATTACAGCAATATAAATATTAAAATTCGTATATATATATATATATATATATATATATATATATATATATATATATATATATATATATATATATATATATATATATATAAAAGGGCCCTTAAACAAATAAAATATCGACAATGAAATATAAATCATCAGCGTTTATAATAGTTTACTTTCACTTCATCTTTGTCTGAAAATACTTATTTCTGCTAAGAAGGTGATGAGTGAAAGTCGTGTGATGCGCGCACCGCTGTTTTTATGGCAATAGTCAGCGAGTACAGTGTGTAAAGCCATCCATAATTTTCTCCTCTATGTAACGGTTAATGATATAAATTAAGGATAAGATAATCTCATCTACATCTGCTAAATAGTAGCTATATATTTTTAATAATGATTTAGTTTCCTTCTTGGTCCTTAAGGACATTCCAGAGAGAGAGAGATAGAGATAAGGTGCTGACCAAAAGGAGACAGGGTCCATTAATTACCTGGAGCTGCCCACCTCAGTTGCGCCACGTCTCCTCATTTCCATTTGAGGGACCAGTTCGGCTTTGTCCAAGTCTTCCGAGAACCGCTCGAGTTTTGCAAGATTTCTGAATTACGAATATTTTTTTTTCTTTTGTAATTCCCCAAAATGATGTCATTGGTACCATATGCCTGAAATCTAAAGCGCTCTTGGTTTCTTAATAACAATATTCACAAAAAGTATGGTTAGCTAATTGGGTGTTTTTATCACATGAGATGAAAGTAAAAAAAAAAAAAAAATTAAAGAAGAATTTTTTTTTAATTAAAAAAAAAATGTTTGAATAAATTTAGGTATCTGGGGTCTACGATAACTAAAAAAAAAAAACGAAATTGAAGAAGAGATTAAGGCCGCGCCTTTTGTCCCGAAACTTAAAAATTAGAATCTATAAAACCATTATCTTACCTGCAGTTCTTTATGGGTGCGAAACTTGGCCGCTTACATTAAGCAGCGTCTTAAGAGTTTTGAAAATAAAGTATTGCGTAGAATATTCGGACCGGAGTAGGACGAGTTGAGTTAACCGGAGAGTTCAGACGGTTACACAACGCCGAATTGCGTGAACTGTATCCGGGTAATATAATTGAGGTAATTTCATCGCGGCGAATCAAAAATGGGCTTGTAAAGTTGTTGGGCTTCCTAAAAGATTAACATTTGCTGTACCGAATGGTAAACGTCCGAGGAGTAGATCTAAGCGAAGGTGGGAAGATTATATTAAAGCCGATCTGAAGGGACTGGGTTCGGAAGGCGAACGGTGGAGGGAGATGTATAATAACCGATTGTTGGTGTCGGCATCGAACCTTCGGGTTCGCTAAGCCTTTTATTATTATTATTCATTTAAAAAATAAACCTTTTTGGAGGGCTTCAGCCCCAAAGTCCCTCTCTGTATATCCACCAGATTATATATTTAAAATATATAAAGTATTCCGATATTAAAAAATTTCAAATTCGTGTTTTTAACCAAAATACAAGTTTTAAGTTTCTGGTTCTAAAAAAAAACAAACAAAAAAACAAGTCTCGCAAAATTGTGTTAGTGTTTGGGAACAGCATACTGTTAAAATAAGAAGTTATACGAAACTGAAATTACCTATTTATGTTAGATTGATAAATATCCGCGATGTCACACAAACTTTTTCGTTAAAATCAGCTGATATCAATAATAGATAATATTAAGCCAATGAAGGGGGCAGCATAGAATTAGTCATTCTGCGGCACAATTAATATTTAGAAGCTTTACAAAAATCTTTCTGATCCATTGAAATTCTCAAATGAAAATGATAAATAAATTTCAATTATATTTTACTTTATTCATATCGTCGGTTTCAAAAGTTTTTTAAATGACTTTTCCTAACCTCAAATAATTAAGAACTTTGCAGAATTTTCCCTTTGTGAAATCTGAGTATAGTGCAATTTTAGTAACTATATTTGATATTAAAAAGAGTTCGTGTCATTTTATCGCACTGTATTTTTATTGATGAATAAGGTAGAAATTCACAACAAAAAAAACAAATCTTAAAAGTTCATCTTTTTTCAAAAAATTGATTACGTCATATTTTTATATAAACTAACTTAAAATATACTCCTGTCTTCTTGGCAAGATATATGAGAAATTAAATTAACAAAATGATTCTTGATTTTTCTTCTTAAAAATGTCATGTGGACATGTTCTGGAGTTTTAATTCTGTGAACGATATTGTAGCGTGGAGTCAAGAACAGCTGTTTGCACACCTGGTTAGTTTGCAAGTCTGCATTAATTTGTGCTTTGGTTGAACCATTGTTGTATAAAGTAAACTGTTGTGGGGGGGGATTCGTAAAAAGTAATATGATGCAATGTAAACATGAGGGTGTCGTAATGGTTTATATATCGAATTTCGAACCTTATGTTCCAAGTTTACAAATCGTTCTATGATGGATAATTGTTAACTGGGAATAAAAGATGATTGAAGAAATCAGTCAAAGTAAAGGATAATATAAGATAAGATAATAAAGAACTATTCAGAAAATAATGGACAGTAATAATAATAATAATAACCATATGAAGGTAGTTAAACTTAACATCCTATATATTATTTCTAAAAGGTGTTTTTTTGTCAGTTCGCCATAACTTCGTCAATTCTTCTTCAAATCCACTCATTTTGAAGATATTCTCCTTCACATGCCAAAAATAGTCCTATCCCACCGAAATTTCTGGAAAAAAAATTATTAAGAAAAAGAAACTTTATTCGCGAATAACTCAAAAAGTATGTATTTTTTTTCTAGGATGTACCCATGATAATTAAAAAGATTACTAAATTACCTACAAAATAAAAAAAAAATTTAAAAATTATTAACAGAGATACAGTCAATTAGTTTTAAAGTCTATTGTCTTCCAATTTAAAGATATTGCATTTAGGAATAGAATAGTCTACTGCATTTTTTTTCCTGGCTGATATATTCACTTTATTATTTCTTAAAGATGTTTGGTTGTTCTTACATTTTATTTTATTTTTTAATAATTTAGAATATTCCATGATCGGGTTATTGTTTTGTTTATATTACAGCGGCTAAAAATATCTCCTATTATTTCTATCATATTTAATGGGATATCGTAATCAACCAAGAAAAGAATATTAATTCATTTCTTACATATTACATAGGAACTACTTATTTCCATATTGTTTAGCTATTTCTTGACCAAAAAAAAATTTTATGCAAATTTTTCGCACGGGCCAACTAGTTAATAAATATTTTAAATGGGGTATATATGAAATATAAAATAATTTGGAAGTTGGGAACTAAAATAAAGCTGGGACTTCAAATTTTTTTAAAATTTATATTTTGAGAAATCGTTATAAATTGAGATTTATTTATAATTGGTAAATGGTTGACTGTCGTGGATAATGAAGAGAAGAATAGTTGGGGTGGTCAGTCAAAAAGGAAGGCAAAAATAAATGATAATATTTATTTTTACATATGCCGACGTTTCGACCTGAAGTTCAGGCCTTCATCAGGGCAATTTCATTTTACTTAATATTTATTTTTTTTTTTTTATTATTTTTTTTTACCATCACTACTTATGTTTCTCATACCTTGTTATCTGGTTATTTTCTTAGCCCTGATGAAGGCCTGAACTTCAGGTCGAAACGTCGGCATATGTAAAAATAAATATTATCATTTATTTTTGCCTTCCGTTTTGACTGACCACCCCAACTATTCTTCTCTTCGAGATTTATTTATTTATTCAACTACCATAAGTATTCCAAGTAGAGCAGAAAATAAAGGTTTCGTACTTGTAATCGATTAATAAATAATAAAAAAATTTATAGTTTTAATTATAATAATAAAATTAATAAAAAATCCTCTTAGCTCAAAGCTTACTCACTACTATGCCCTCCGTATGTATCCATCAATGCATGACACAGTTCGGATAGCAGGTGTCAGTAGTACAAGCCTGACCCGTCTTGGAACGACAAAGAACCGACAGATGTACCTCAACAGAAACTAGGTTTAAAAATATACATCGTAACAGATGTTTAAAGAGGGAATATATCATCATGGCAATGCATCAATCTGTCTTATATCTTAGGCTGTTAAAATTTAATTGTATAAACATATGTTATTCAATCAATTTAAAAATTGCTTACATATGTGTCATTTGCCTTATATTATAATAATATTTTGTTATAATAGGCTCTCTGTTCTATTTTATTATATTCTGGAATAATTAATGAAGAAAGTTATTTTGAATAGCTTTAACTATGAGAGAATTTAATAATTTTTCTTGGCCATGGTGATTAAGAAGAAGCCAATTAAAGTGGTGGCCTTGTGGCGTTGGGTGTCGAAAGAACTCAACAGGAAAAAACTAACCAAAAAATAATATTTTGTTTAAAAATAATACTGCATAACTAAAAAAACACTGATGCTGTGCGTGTTTCACATAACTTTTACTTATCACCCACTCCTTAGCAGAAATAAATATTTTCAGACAAAGTGGTAGTATAAACGCTATATTGATTTCTAGTTCATTGTGGATATTTTTATTTGTTTAAGTACCCTCATATATAATTTTTTTAATATTTATATCAATGTAATCTATACAATTAAATATTAAATAATACCAATGAAAACATTTAGGAAAACTACATATGTACATGTACGTCATATTATCGGAGTCCTTTATTAATATTAAGCTCATGTTACTATGGAAGCCTGTTCAAATCTTCGGACCAGCTGGTATCACTTTGGTTCCTTCTAGTGTTGCCCGAAATCGGTCTTGGTCTTGCACTTTGCAAGATCAAGACCAAGACTTGTAAAAAAAATCGATTTTTTGCATAAAAATTAATGCAAAACAGTTACTAATGCTTGACAATTTTAGATACTATATGTAAAGAATTGGTATAATCAATGTACTTTTGCATTTAACTCTTATAATTTTTCATTAGGGCTTACTTAGGTTTCCCCTATCTAAAAAAATACAATATATACAAAATAATACCTCTATAGTACTAAGCTAATTAATAACTGCAAGACCAAGACCTAGACCAAGACTGAGTTTACAAGAACAAGACTAGGTCTTTATTTGCGAATAACTCAAAAAGTATTCATTTTTACTAAATGTATAGGTTGTACCCATGATAATTAGAAAGATTACTAAATTACCTACAAAACCAAAAAAAAAAAAAAAAAAATTGTAAAAGCATACAATTATTAACAAAGATCAACGATACAGTCCATTAGTTTCGGTATACTTAATGTCTCCCTGTTTAAAAATATTGCATTTAGGAGTAGAATTGTCTACACTCTTTTTTCTGGCTTTTATATTCACTTAATTATATCTTTAAGACATTTGGTTGTTTTTACGTTTTATTTTTTTTTTAATAATTTAGAAAATCCCATGATCGGAGCATTATTTTGTCTTTATCACTTTTATTATATTTCCAGTCAGGGTTTAAAAATAGGTCCTAGCAAAGCAATTCCTAGAAATATTTTTGTCTATTATGTTTAATGGAATATTGTAATCGACCAAGGAAAAAATATTAACTCCTTCCTTACATAATAAATAGGAACTACTTATTTTCGTATTGTTTTGTTATTTCTTCATTCAACAAATTTTTCGTACGGACCAACTAGTAAAATATATTAATATTTCGATTTTTAGAAATCAATTATAGAAGGTTCCTAAATTATTTACTAACGTATAAGAAATAAATATAAAGAATTGATGCTTAGATGCCTATATATATAGATTTTTTATATTTTACATCGATGTATCGATGTTTGTTTTATCTCAAGTTGCAGCCCGTGAAATTTAGTGGAGGTCTCAATGTAGCCCTTAGATCAAGAAGCTTGGAAACCCTTGATTTAACCTATCGAAACCCCCCCCCCCTCTTCTCGAATTAAAATATATTTTTTAAGGAATTAGGTTAACTTGTTCTTTCGGAGTTGGGATTCGATGTAATACGCCGGGTATTGTTTTTCATATTGACATTGTAATTTTTAATGAATATATCTACACATTTGAAATATAGTTATTAAAATAAATGCAGCGGCGGGGTTGAGAAATAATACCAAACGATGACGGGTTAATATCGCTTCAATAACGAATGAGTCATTCATTAAGGACACAATGAACGAACTGATTTGACATGTCTTACTTCGTTCCAGTTTCATGTCGCGTCGGAGGCAGTTGAAATGTTTGTTGTTGCATTTTTGTATATGTATTTAAATTAAAAACGCTACAAATTATTTCACAATGGTTTAGTATTTCCAAATAATTATGCTTCTAAAGTAACATTACCTTCCTAGTGACAAAAAATAAATATATAAAAGGTGATTCCAATTATTGTACTAAACATTTTTTAATAATATGCTGAAAAAAATAGCATTACTTCAGTAACACATTAAAAAATCAAAAACCAAAACAAAAGATATAACCTTTGCAGTAGAACATATTAAAAACATGTAGAGACCATATCTTTGCTCCTAATTGTTCGATTTTAATATTTTTTTTTTTTTTTAGAAATGCCGAAAAGTTTTAAATTTCTATTTTGATGAAACTTTCTTCATTTTTTAGTCATTTTAATTACCTTTGAAACATCTTATCACAATATCAACAAAAAGTGTATACTACTGAGTTATTCGTAATCTAATTTTACCATCTTTCGTAACTTTTCTCCCAGCTTCTTTTCGTTGAAGTATGTTATATGGATAAATTTAAAGGACGTCGAGAAAAAGACTTTAGCCAAGTTTCATTGAAATTGGAATATTCGTTTAGGCAGTTTATAACAATGCAAGTTTTTCGGTCGCCATCTTGAAAGGAAAAGACGGATAGAAATTTCGATGAAGGAGTACCATCCTCGGATGACCTCTAATTTTAAATCCAAATTAAAAAAAAAAAATCGGTCCATTTTTCGGAGAAAATGCGCGGATGGCGGACGGACACTCATCAGGATCACCTTTGTGTTATAATGAGGTAAAATTCTCGCGTCATGTAAAGATACTATTTTAAACAATAGTTCATTACAAAGAGAATGAAATGCTGAACGTTTCCCTCTCTGCAGTTAGTTTCTGAAATATTTGAATCCATATCTTCAATGAAACTCTTTATCATTTGATTTTCTACACTATTTTTCACTTTTCGCCTCTCTAACACGGCGTCATGTTAATATGTAATTTTGAATAATATCCCATTACAGAGAGGATGAAATGCTGAACATTTCCCTCGTTTACAGTATACAGGTACGATTTTAGTTTGTGAGATATTTTAATCCATATTTTCAACCAAGCTCGTCCGAATTTTCAGTTTTCGCCTCTCTAACACGACGTCGCGTTAAGATACTATTTTAAACAATAGTTCATTACAAAGAGGATGAAATGCTGAACATTTTCCCCTCTTACAGTATGCAGGTTCGATTTTTAGTTTCTGAAATATTTTAATCCATATCTTCAATGAAACTCGTTATCAGTTGATTTTTTACACTATTTTTCACTTTTCGCCTCTCTAACACAGCGTCATATTAAGATACAATTTTGAATAATATCCCATTATAGAGAGGATGAAATGCTGAACATTTCCCTCACTTACAGTATACAGTTTCGATTTTTAGTTTCTGAGATATTTTAATCCATATTTTCAACAAAACTCGTTCTCTTTTTCCATTTTCGTCTCTCTAACACGGCATCATGTTAATATAAAATTTTGACAAATAGCTCAGTACAAAGACGATAAAATTTTGAACATTTCTGTTATGAACAGTTTACAGGTACGAATTTTAGTTTCTGAAATATTTCAATCCATATCTTCAATGAAACCCGTTATCATTTGGTTTTCTGCAGTATTTTTCACTTATCACCTTTGTTACACGGCGTCATGTTAAGAAACAGTTTTGAATAATATCCCATTACAAAGAGAAAGAAATGCTGAACATTTCTTTTGCTTAAAGTATGCAGGTCCAAACTTAGGTCCAAAATAAAACTCGTTCTCTTTTTCCATTTTCGTCTCTCTAACACGGCGTCGTGTTAAGATAAAATTTTGAAAAATAGCTCATTACAAAGAAGATGAAATTTGGAACATTTTTCTTACGTACAGTATTCAGGTACAAATTTTAGTTTCTGAGATATTTTAATTCAAATGCAAAAATTTAATTGTAAATGTAATGTAAACGAGACACTAAGATTATAGAGACTTGTAGAGATGACTACTGGAACGCCTGACCTCTCTGTAGTCGTAGTATCGGCAGCACCTGCTGTCCCACAGCCCATTCACGATCTCCTTTGAGCAGACCTTACTCATTCATTCGAATTCCTTCAACGCTCGCATTCAGGCTGGTCTATATCATCCGCCATTTTGTAAAGATTATAAAAGAAAATTAGTTATCAAAAGATTCTTCTGTCCGCTAAAAATATATACTGTAAATATTTTTTCAATAAACATTATATTTAATAGCTTTATCAGCTGTCTTCAAGGTGGTGTTATAAAAAGTTACAATTATTATAGTATTTGTATTAAATTGTTAATAATATAATTTTATTAAATACATATTTTCACTAAACAGTTATACGAGACTATGCTTAAACACAATAAAAATATTTTAAGGTTCATCATTCGCTGGTATATCACGAATTTTGTTCCAATGACTCAATCAATTTCGGTTTATTATTTTCAATAATCAACCATTGTGATCGACCGAAATATTCAAAAACTTAACCCCCTCTCAAAATTTGAGTTTTCACGTTTCAGGATGCATAGAATTCGAAAAACGAATAAAAAATTTTTTTGTCCGTCTGCCATTCGCGTATTTTCTCCAAAAATACTGGACAGATTTTTTTCAAATTTAGATATAAAATCAGTGTTCACCCGAGGATGATCCTCCATCATTACTATCCGCCCTTACTTTCAAAATGGCGA